GTTGCCGGTTACAATGTGAAACCAGGCGGGGATACAGTAACTGCCCGAAACCCTTCAAAGCGGCTGTTAACCGGGGAGGGGCGTCACCTCTCTCTCTCTCTGCCCCCCCCCCGCTCCCGGTCGAAAGCGCCTCTCTCTGCAGCCTGTTCAGTTGCTCACAAGGCGGAAGAGAGCAAGGAGGGGGGGGCGCGCAACTTTGCCTCTGGTGGAAGGGAGTTCCACAGGCCAGGAGCAATTCTGGGCTGCGGCTGAATTGCGGAATAGGAAGCCGTGTCAATTCCCTCAGAGCGACATTTACCCTGAAAGCTGCCCAGTCTTGGACTTCTGGCCCCAAAAGAGGGGCAGGTCAGCTCCCTGCGGCTTCTGCGGGGATGAACCCAAGACTGTTGCGGGTATCCATCCTTCCCACTTAACCAGCCTGGGAAAGGCCTTAACGCCAAATAATTGGAAGTCCCTGGAACGTGTCTTTATGCCAGTTCATTTTGCTGTCCTTGGTTAAGGTTGCTGGGCTTTTTATTGTTCAGGTTTTTAATAGAAATGTTCTGAAATTCTTGGGGGATGAAAGTCACATCTTGAAGGGGGGGGTCGAGGGTAGAATGCCAGGGCAAAAGCCACCATCCAGAGGGCCGGGTGCAGGGGGGGGGACGGCCTGCAGGCATAAGCCCAGAGTGGGAGAGGACCGTGGGGTTGGGCTCACCTGCTGTCTCTGGCTTGCCACCTCCTAGCCTCCTCCTTGGTGCCTCCTGGTGTTTTGGGGGGAACCTTGGGAGTTCGCTGGACGATGCTCCGGCCGCTCAAACACAAGCCCCCCCCCAGTGTTTGAATACCTTTTGCCCCTCCGGAGCCTCTCAAATGGGTCCCCAAGAGCTGTGGGCGGCTCTCTGGCTGCCTTGCCTTGGGCACCTGGCTTTCACCTGTGCGAGGTGGCACCTGCAGGGGCAGGTTTGCCATCCTGGGAGACAGACGAGGAGGGCTGGAGCAGAGGGAAGTCCTGCCCGGGAGGGAGTCAGGCAGGCTTGTGTGTTTGTGTGTGTTTTGCTTTACAATTCCAGCCTGCAGGCGGTGGGCTCTCTGTATCCCTAGCCCCAGCCGTGCTTTTCCTCTCTCCCTTGCCCAGGAGGTCTCCAGGGGTGACCAGAGTCCCAGCGGCTCCGTTGCCAGGCTGGCCCCTTTNGGGGGGGGGGGGGGGGAAGGGTTGCTGCAAGAGGGCAGCTGAGTGAGGTGGCCTGGACGTGGGGCAGCAAGCGTGCTCCGGGAACACCTGGCCGGTAGGCAAATCAGCTTGTGCAACGAGGAAGATTTGCCTGAAAGCGTCTGAAAGGAACTGGCGCTGGGCGGAGAGCTGCCTCTCCTTCCTGGTTTCCCCAAAGGCCAGGCTCCCCTCCCCCCGCTGCCGCCCCTTTGGTCTCCCTCCTTCCGCCCTGCTTGGCTTCCGACCCTGATGCTGTCGCTGGGGAGAGGAGGCGCAGCTGCCTCTTGGTTCTCCTCGGCCTGGATTTCTCCTGGCACTCTGGGAGTGTGCTTTGGGCTTCATGCAGAGGCAAGGCGGATTCCCTGGATCAGGGCCCTGCCTTCCCAAGCCATCCCAAGCTCCATGACTGCCCTTTCACCCTTAGGAGAGGGGAGAGAAGGATGTGGGAACTACGGGCATCCTCTCAGTGACTGGCAGAGGCAGAGGGGCAGAGGAAGGCTCTCTTTCCTTTCCTGAGAGAGAGCGCCTTGTCAGGCTCAGCAGCGGCCGACCAAGGGTGGCCTCTCCTTTCCCCTTTGTGCTTGCCTCTCATGGCAAGTCTGCTCAACAAGGCAGTGTGGAAATCCCCTCTCAGCTGTTGTTGTGTGTGGGAGGGAACCAAGGAGCAAACCACACGGCTGACAATGATGAGGACGTGGACCCAGGGAGGGAACAATTCAGGGCACAGGGAAAACCAGGGCAGCTTTTGGGGAGGGGGGGTCACGGGCCTAAGGCTGTGGGCATGGGAGAGGTCCTGGGCCTCCCTAGTCCGGCCCTCAAGACCCAGATCTTGCTCAGAGCTGTCGCCTCCCCTCCCTTTCCCTTCATGACTCAAAGCCAGTGTTGTGGTTTGGGTAATGTTGCGCTAGAGTGGAGGAAGCATATGCAGAACGTTTAAATAATAATAATAATAATAATGAAAGTGTGTGTCTTTCAGAGCCATGGCTCCAAGAACAGGAAACCTAAACTTGGTAGGCATACTCAGGAAGCCTTAGGGGTGTATGTCCATGGATGAATTGTGTTTGTGTTTAAATGCATGGGTGAGTTTTTAAATTAATGCAACTCTGCCAGTGTGTTTGAACCCCTTTCAGTGCCACTTCCAGTCATTAGGTGCCAGGCTTCCTGACCAGGACATAGGCTTGCAATTTCCAAGCCAGGATGAAGTTACAGGTCTGCACTTCATCCCTCTTTTGAGACAGCTGCCTTTCGGAAGCACGGGATGTAGATCTCTCTCCCTCATGGATGTTCGTCGGGGCGTACCACGCTGGCAAGCCATCTTAGGCATCTCACCACCCAGAAGGCTTTCATTCAGAAGGGGCACACACAATATGCCCAACTGGGACTTTGCACTGGAATACCAAATACAGGACTGCTTGTGACTTGTACAGAGGTGCACAAACAGCCAAAGGGGAATTTTGAATAGCAGGCTGGGTCTCGTCGCTGGTTTGGGTTGAATGAGACAGGGCATCAGAAATGAAATCAGAAATCTGTTTCTGCACACTGATCAAATGGGTTGCACAAAAGGCAGGAAGAGAAAACAGATCTCCCTGGGGAAAAATATATGTCTAAGGGACAGCAATCATTAAAAGCTAACACAGCCCTTGTTTTTCATAGACAAGATTTTGTCTTGTTTTTAGGACGGTGTCACTTGGGTTCATGTGGAAGGGCTTGCAGTGAAGTGAATGGATGTCTGTATGTAAAAGTCCACACTAAATACTGTACACAGTTTGTATAAATCTGTAGCTGAATATTTCTCTGCAATTGTCTGAAAAGGTGCATTTTAATCTACAAATCAATCTGTTCGATTCCCCCCAAAGGAGCAGCATGACGGTGGTGCTTGTTTTTCCTCCTGTCTTCATGCAGTGATGAGAAGAGCCAGAAGGCGGCTCTGCCTGGCCACGCTTCCTTTTTCTGCTTTCCCCTGCTGATGCTGCCAAAGCTAGCAAGCCAGGGGTTTCAACAGCTGGATGCTTTTCTCGCTGTCTACCTTGCAACAGATCTTCAAGGGCATGGTGTCAACCAGAGGTTGGCTGAATTGCCCAGATGTCACAGCAAGATTGCAGCCATTGGCTGGACCGTCCCTTTCCCAAAGTCAGGGGGCAAGAGGACGGGGAGGCAGGAGAAGCCTGGATCTCGAAAGGAGGAGCTGGGGACCAGGACTGGGTGGGCCCAAAGGAGGGGGGGAAGCTTTGGAGGGAGAAGGGAGGCTGGGGAGGGTTATGAGTTGGGGGGAGGTCAAGGGCAAGGGAGCAGCGGGGAGGCCATTTCTGCTTTGTTCCCCCCCAACTCTTTCATCTTTCGCCACCACCACTGCAGGAGCACCCCTTCTCCCCCCAAACACCCCTTCTGCTCCCCGACACCCACTCGCCAGCAAAGCAGGACAAAGAGGAGCTCCCACCAGCCCTTCACTCCCTCCAGGGATAGAAAGAGGCGCCTCCACTTCCTAGCTAAAACTCAGAACCATCAAGTGCCTGCTTGGGGTTTGGCCCTTGGGCACCCCTTTGCCAAAAAGACCCCCTTCAGAACCAGAATGAAGTGAATGGCCCCTCATGAAACTCTCTGGGAGCAAAACAGTCCAGGAGCTGTGGATTTCACGTACTTTGGAAAAACAAGCAGACCAAAACCCTAATCCATCCTCAGGACTTCGGGGCCATGTTGAGTCTTTTTGATTCTTTCTGTCGTTGTCGTTTAGTCGTTTAGTCGTGTCCGACTCTTCGTGACCCCATGGACCAGAGCATGCCAGGCCCTCCTATCTTCCACTGCCTCCCGGAGCTGTGTCAAATTCATGTTGGTTGCTTCGATGACACTGTCCAACCATCTTAGTATTTTTCTTTGCAGCATCGGACTTTCCTTTCACTCCCAGGCGCATCCACAGCTGAGCGTCCTTTCGGCTTTGGCCCAACCACTGCATTAGCTCTGGAGCTACTTGTGCTTGTCCTCTGCTCTTCCTCAGTAGTATATTGGACGCCTTCCGACCTGAGGGGCCCATCTTCCAGCAACATATATTTTAATGTTTTGTT